ATTTGTTTTGTTCTTTTAGCCATTATTCAATTTTTATCAGGTCTTTGCTAAAGTCTTAAGGACTATAAATATAATTATTTTATGTCACCATAATTGGTTTAATAAAATTTAATTGGTTAATAAAATTTAATTAAAATGTGTTAATAACATATTTTGTAATTAGTTTTACTCATATAGCTTTACTCATTTATTTATATAAATTCGTCACATTTGTCACATTCACATATATCACATTCTTGGATATTATTGAACATTACAGAAAGAATGCTAACAGAAAGAACTTTTTTTATATCGAAATTATTTTAAACACACGTAATAGAAATTAAATATTAATAGCTCATAAAAAACTAAGGAATAATACTACTTTATAATAAATAAATTGATCAGTTGAAAATAAATTTTTTCTTTTAATTTTTTACTATGATTAGTCAATTTACTTACTGCTTAAGTTTTACTGTTTACGTTTTTCTATGTGCCATGGAGTTTAGGACTCCCGCATTTTCCATAATCGTAATCATAAGACTTAATATAAAAAATTAGTAATAATATAAAAATTAGTCAATCAGAGCTAAGAGTTCAAAAATAATATTTTAAACTCTGATTAGTTTATAAGTTTATAGTTACGGAAAGTAAAATGCAATCTTTACTTCGCTTTTCTACTGATTTTCAATTATTGTAAAGATCTGGAAAATTCTGAATGCTATATAGTAAAATAAAAACAGACCTTAAACAGAAACATTGTTATTAAAATAAATAATGTTAGAAATAAAAAATATAACTTAATTAGAAACTCCACAGTTCCACACAAATGCTTTTTTTTTAATATCAGAAGGTTAATAATTTCCCATAGTTATTTAGATACTAAATACGAATCCAGCTTTTAAATTGATCTATTACATCATTATTTTGGGAAATTTGCAATTAAAGTTGCAAAAAGTTTAAACATAATTGAAATTTTTTTTGTTAAATTATCAATAATCACAGCTTTTATCTGCAATAAATTTTATATTTAATCATGAATATCTTGTTAAACATAAAAATTATATTATTTAAATATGATTTTTTTACATTTAATATTATTTTAAAGTATTATCAAATTCACTTGGTATTAAAATTTATTATGCATTACAATGAAATAAAGTCTACAAAAAATTAATGTGAATGCTGAAAATATCATATAAAATAAAATTAAGGCAATATTTTTTCAATTTACCGCGATAAGTGCAAAATTTTTGAAAACAAAAGAGAATGGCCATTGTCATGTAGTCGCTGGCACACAGTTGAATAAACAGAGCGTATTACTATCACTATTTATAGATACATGTAAATTATAAATAAAGCATCTTACCTGACATCTTCCCTGGAATTACCTGAATTATAATTACATTTTTTTTTATGAATTACATTATTACGTTAATGAAAATATGTCATCCCATTTAAAAATATTGATGGTCAAATATTGATGGAAAATAATTGAATTATAAGAAACATTCTGTATGTTACATTTCAGAAGAATATTAGAGTTAAACTCAATTTTTACTTAATAATATCATAGAATATATTGTTAATTTGATATATATTTTGCATTAATATTGAAAATATTCACATCAATATATGCACATCTAAACATACATACATATATTATATATTCATGTATATATACATACATTCTTGCTATATTGGTACGCATGTGCATAGATTTTCGTATAAAATTTCTATATCATCTTAGATACCTAAGCCTAACTCAATGTTGAATGTGTTCCAAGACATGATTTGACACAAGTCTAATTATATTATCATTTATTCTTGTTTAGCATTTGATAAAAAAATAAGAACATTAGACACTATAATTATGTCGATTTGTATCTCTGCATTGGAAACCAGTCATATTGTTCCTTCAATCTACTAGTTTAGTAATATCAATTTTGTGGATACAGGCTACAAAATTTTTATAAAACAAACATTAATATGAAGTTTATCTGGTACGTACGTATTAATGTATAAACTTTAATTATAGAAAAGTATTTCCATATTTATAAAAAAATACAAATAAGAAAAGTTTTTATGAAAACATACTTGTTGGTAATACAAATTCAGCACCCTCTCCCTTAAGAAAGTAATAATCTCGTCTGTATTATTGATAGAATGCGATATTTTTTGTATCAACTTTTTTTATGTAGTATTTTTATAAATTTGGAAATACTATTCTAATTTGAAGTTATTAATATGTATTTTAATATGTGTTTAACATATGAAATTTGTGACAAGAACAAGAACATTTTTTTAACTTGTAGCTATAAAACTAATATCGTTGATACTAATAGATTACATGAAAAAACAATATTGAATTTTTAAAATTAGACTTAGATACCTAATGTGATACAAAAAGTATATGACTAGCAGATATAAATAAAAAAGATGGATCTCCGTCAGTGATCTCCATTCATCGTCTTACTAAGAATCATATTTTTAATTAAAATAGATAGACATTTTGAATAACGAATCCAATCTTATGAAGAGATTGATTTTTGAGATGGTCTATATAAAGAAACATCATGATCTGAATAAGCAAAATGATATTTCTCTCCGAAACTTATTTTCCGATTTTCAAAACTCTTCTCTCTTTCTAATTCGTCTATCCGATCCTTTGTCTATCCAATCTAATTTTCTCTCTTCTCTCTCCTTCTTCTTCGGTGTTTCTCTCTTATTCCTTTTAATTTGTTGACGAATATCTGTGATAAGCATGTGTTACAATTTCTCATTTGGTTCCTGTGTTGACTGTCAGGTATGACCGTTTATTACTTCTATTTATCGGTGTTTTAATGTAATATAACTCATTTCATATCTGTTAATTATTAAATTTGTAAAGCGAATGAATATATATCGGTTCTTCTTAATTGTTTAAATATCCGCTGCACACTGTTTCCTAAAACATACATTACAATAGAAATAGGTTGTACAATAGAAACTTATGCAATGACAATTATAAAACATTTCCTTGTTTATTCTGACCGCAATAATTTTGTATAATTCTATAATTCAATGATTTTGTGAATTTGTATTTTATTGACGCACTGATCATCATTTTGAGTGATCAAAACGTTGGTATTTGAATTTGTATTTGTTTGTTTATAATAACATATTATCAGTGTAAAAACCATCCTTGGTTCATATAGTCTTTTGTTTTTATTTGTGTGGATTTGTTATTGTTTTGAGCTTTTAATTATTATTATTTCATATACAAAAATTTATTTATTATGTGCACATATGGATGTATGTATGTATACATGAATGTA